AATTATTATATTACAGAAAAGAGTAAAAAATATATAATAACATATACAAAAAGACAAGAAAACATATGAAGGTTTTAAGTTACGTTTTCCAGATCCGCTAGCTGCTTTTACGAATGAAAAATAACTCGAAGCTGGTGCATTAGCAAATCATATCTGAGTTACTTCACATTTGGACTAATTGATCGATCAGAACATCAATTACTGTCCCTAATTGGGCATTCCCTACAATTAGCCTCGAGTTTTAGCACCGGCGCGATTCGCCTCGATTCTACTGGCGCTGTACCAGCCACTCGGCCATCGACAATGAAATGAAAACGTCTAATTAACGCGCGGGAATGAGCAATTAAGACATCGACGTAGCGATCTCGCTGTATGACCGATTCAATTAAGAAGCCCTCTGTGTCTGGTGCCTCGGCGGAGCGTGCTCGTGTGGTGTATTATCGTTATATTTACTATTAAAATATATTCCTCGCTCCGAAAGGGTGGAGCCTGTCTCGACCAATGGGCTCTCGTCGCGTGCCTCGGGTCGTTACGGAACCTGCAAATTGATAAGAATACATCGCCGTACCCTTCGGCCCTTCATTAGCCCTCTCTCCCGCTCTCCTACGTCCGAGCGAAGATGTCGGACGCGGAATACATTTTTATTCGCACCCAGGGCGGTCGCCTTATCACGCCGTTCTTGTCGTCATCTTCAAGGGCCTGCAATTTGTCTATTACCTATAGAAAAGATCTGACGTGCGTACGAAGCGGGGAAACACGTGTACGCTTTACGCGCTTCGACGAGCTGAAAAACGGAGTAAAAGTCTGATCCCATTAACTACGGGAAATTTTTCCATCGTAAAGAGTTTATGGGAGAGCGAAATCTTGTATTTCCTGGGACAGGGCTTTCACGCAACGAGTGTAACGTAAGAGAATGAAATTGCATTTCGAAGTCAAGATTGAAAGATAGAAGACGTCTCCTAAGAGACATCGGGAACAGGAGGATCGCATGGTGATCGAATGAAAGAAACCCGATTTACAATAACAACTATTTATTTATAGGTAATAATGCTGAATTACAATGAATACACTTCTTGCCTCGATACTAGATTGTATAAGTCCGGTCGCGAAATCGGCGTCACTAGTCACCGTCGCCGTGACTCGCAGTGTGGCGACGACAAAGTCTCTCCCCCCCCTTCTCCTCATTCCCAACTCCGCCCCGCAAACGTCTTGCACTTCTCTTCTTCGCGCAGTCCATGTCACCTTCACCCTCAACACCTCGGTATCGCTTTTCTCGACCGAGAACCGCACATTCGGCGATCATTTCGACATTCATTTTGTTGCATCGGAAACTAAACGATTTGAAATATATTCGCTATTCTTTTCGGAACTTATTTACGGTGAAAATTTGTGCGTGATCGATAGCCGTCAATATTGCCTGTCTCGCGTGAGAAATCGTTTCAATCGGTTCGCTCCGTTAATCTCTGTTCTTGAGATTTAATTTGTACTATTTGGCGTCGGCCAAAGTCATCCTTGCGATCGGCGTTTGCCGATTAGAGTCAATCCCTACGGTTCTCAATCGTGAAAAACGTTACTTGAATGCCCTTCGTGTCAACCCCCCCTCACGGTTACCATTCCCTCCTTCCTTTCCCTCCGTCAATCGGTAGCGGCGATGGCAAATACGGATCAGCTATCGGTGGTTAAATTTTCGTTTCTCTACGTTTAGCATCGTCTTAACGGGCTTTAGCTGGTACGATACTAGACACTATGATTATGTGAACTTTACAACACAAGAACCTTACGGCAAAAGACTTTGTACATGGATCTTAAATACGGGGACCGTCCCCGGGGAAATATCCTTGGCGCCTTCCTCGCTCTGTATCGGCGCGAACGCGCGTCTTACGGGATCGTCGAATTCGGATGTCTCTTTTCCGCTGCCGTTTCCTTTTTCCTCGCTTTATCTATTTTCGCACGCGCCAAAGATATTTCGCCGGATTCTCCGGCGGTCAACGCAAACGCGGGACACACGCAATATGGATTAGACTTACTTGTTTCGGTAGTAACTAAGTTATTTATATAAATAAGATGTTACGATTTAAGACGCTAGGAGAGAATCCTCCGTTGTTCTGTTTTTTACCATACATACACACGCACTCACGCACGCAAATACTCGTAAGACTCTATCACGTTTGCTCTCGTTTTCTCCCTCTCTTTCCCTCTCTCTCTATATATCTGCCGTTCGCTCTTTCTTTCACTCGCTCATTTTTTCATCGAGACATTCTTACTCTCTTTCTCTCTCTATATATCTCTCTCTCTCTTTCTCTGCCTCGCTCCCTCTCTCGTTTTTCTATGATACAGCACTCGAGTCGCGGCTCTAATCTCGTTCCGCGTCGAATCCAGAAGAGACTCGCTCGTCAATTTTCGCGCTCTTACGCTCATTTTACAAAAAGCCGACGCATTTCTCGGCGCTGCGACGTGCCCGGCGAGAGAGAACTGCATTCTCGCGAAAAATCGTCGCGACATCGAGACGCAACGATCGGCGCCACCGAAGACGCCGATTCCGGGATATATCGAATGGGCCGGTCGCGACGAGGGCCCGCGACTCGACATTCGTTTCGCAGCTGGCGATCGGATTGGGCCTCGCGCGCGCCGCCGCGGCGACGTATATAATAATATTAATAATGATAATAATACTCGAAATCGGCGCGCCTCACGATGCGCGCGACGACGGCGTGGCCGCGCCCGATCGCCTGGAATCCCTTAAAAACGATTATCTAATTAATTCGCTCGATAATTAGGAGATAGGTACCTCTAGGAACGCATGCACTCACGCACGCACTCTCCAGCAGTCTTTAGAAATATGCCTCTCTTATATCTCTCTCTCGTCCGCCTCTCCTTCTCTCCCCTTGCTCCCGATTTCCTTTACCGTCCCCTCCGCCTACTTGTCCGCGATCGTCGCGATATCGCGAAAGTCACGCAATGTTCGGTCATCATCCGTCAACGGGTACAATCGATGGTGCGTACATTTAGAGAATTGTCTCCTTCCGGGGGTTCCGCCGTCGTCGAACGAACGACGCGACCCCACGATCGCCGCGAACGCGAATTTGGGAGATCGGGCGAATATCGCGTCGTTGATATGTGTGCGGATCGGTCCGCGGTTCCCAGTTCGCGAATCCCGACCGGACCGATCTCGATTCGAGGGCTTCGCTTATCCTGCCCCCTCGAGCGTCGAAAAACGCGGCCGATCGCGGCCCTGTACAAACGCATGAACAACCGCGCGCTTTTTTAATTCGTTCATCGAAATCGAGTCTGCCATCGCTTAGCGCACGCTCGTATCGATACTGTGTCCGGAACTTACGAATCTCCCGACGACAAGATACTCTCGTGGAACCTCCCGGCATTCGCGCGTTCGCACTGCTATACATATAAGTCTCCGCGGACACTTGCGCGAGATCGTCTCACTCGGAGTCTTGATCTTCCTCGTCGAATCCGTACGGTTTCTTCTCGCGGTCGATCATCACGATTCTGCCGCTTCTGCCCGCTCTCTCGTTGTGTGGGTCCGCTCTCGTGGCTTCGAATTGCGCTTCCTACTTCGTCCGATCGATCATTCGCTTCGGCTGCTCGCTGCACGATCTGCCTGCTGCCCCCGCCTGCCGTCGTCCGGCCTCTTCTAGGTCGCGCTCGTAAACAGAACGGAGTTTTTGTAGTAACCCGTCCGCGACTCTGAAACAGAAGCGATCGCAGGTGCACTCTGGAGTCCGTGCTCGCGCGTACGCGGCTGTCGGTCTGATGAATTTTACTTTTATCGGATATGAAACATCGTGCGCTCGCGATGTTTCAGTAATAACGGCCGCGGGATGAGAACAAGGCGGGCGTACAGAGCGCTAAATTTAGATCTTATACAGCGCCGGTGTAGCGTGAGTGTTAGGCGTGTCGCAACTCTTAATGGGAATACAAGAGAGAGAGAGGAGCGGATGTCTCGCGGATGAAGATGCATACGGGAGATGAATGGTCGTGGGCGTAATTCCGCTACGGGATGGAGCTCAGGAGGATTCGGCGGTAGGTGCCTTCGTTGCGGCGCGATACGGCGAAGGTGGACCAGCTGGGTCATTCGATGATCGTTCGTTGGGAAGAAGGCGCCGCTCACTAATTATCGCTGGCTCTCGAGACGCAGATGAACGCGGGGGGGACGCGCGAGGTGGATGAAGAGATGGACGAACCGAGAGTCGAGAAAAAGGGGGCGATAAAGGGGAGGTAGAGGGGGAGGGGGGAGGGAGTTGGGAGTCGGAGCCCTATCGTGTACGCACACGTTCGTAAATACAAGTCCGGCCGAGTCATCGGCCTTAGCCGCGGCCTTTGTGATCGAGCCGCCACTCTACTTTTTATCGAACTGTCGCTTATGATTGAAAATCACTATACGTTAATAGTCCGCGTGATTCGGTTTACTCGTCTCTCTCTCTCTCCGCGCCCATCTATCGTCCGGGCCGCTTCAATCTGCCCGCCCTGACTCTCTCGGGACACGTTATTTTGTTCAATTAACATGCGTGTGTTGATATTTTATTCTTTTCTCAGTGGCCGGTTCTAAGCACTCGGCGAAGAGAGAAAATTTGAACGAGCTTTAACGCGCGATAACATTGTTATATAAAAAAAATATAGTAATTTTAAATCGTTAAATTTCTTAATGAAAGACCAACTTGATACCGTGCGCGCTTTTGCGAAAATGCTACTTCGCCACTTTCATTCTTCTTGCGATAGATTTGTAAGTAACATTACTGTCGATAAAAAGCCCTGGGGGCCAAGATGTAGGAGTTGATTTTGCAAGGACGTTGCCAATTAAGCAGACTTGTTAATTCCTTTCGGGAGCCCCCGAGAGGGTGGACGGGCGGGCGGGCGGTCGAAAAACGATTATTTACGTGCAACGTCACGCCGGCCTGGGCCTTGGAGCATCGAAATCGCGCTACGGATATAGTTTTTGCGCGAGTTGGAAACTTCCTTCGGACAAGTTTCCACGGAGGAGAGCGAGGCCAAGTTTCGAATATGCCGGGGCTATGCCGCTGACGCCTTTGCAAGAACCGCCGCCTCGCCCACCCTCCCTCGAGACGCGACCGCCCCTGAAGAGTTTCTAATTAAAGATCCGAACTTTATTCCGTATAGCAAGAAATCGCTCTACGCGTACTGCACGAGAACTGCGCTCTCCGAATCCGAAAACTTGAGAGAGAAATGTTTTGAGATCGCACACACACAAGTATACCGTACTATCGTATACGCATGAAGATGCCGATTATTACGATGGTAAAATAAATAAAGAGAATGTACAAATAAAGTAGAACGACTTTAAATTCTATGGAGTACGCACGCGCGAAAATAATTTCGTGCTTTCGTTCAACGCACCTTGAAGAGGAGACTTGACTTGGTCCCTCTCGGCCGCTTGGTGCTGCCGCGATTTTCTCTCCAGCTCGAGCTCCTGCACCAGCGATTCTGCGACAAAAAAAGAAGCATACAAAATTGACAGACAACTGAGGCAACAAAACGACCGGGTGTGTGTGCGTTGTGTGTGTTGTGTGTGGCAAAGCATTTATAATATGGCATTTATAATATAGCCTACATAATACAATACTGTTCCGCTATGTAATCAACGCGCATAATGTAGTCTCACTAGCGTTCTCGGGCTTAAGATTAATATCGGCGTTCGGATAACGCGCTCCGCTGCCTCGACAGCGTTGAAGGAATCGCCTCGAGGAGAGAAGTCCGTCGGCTCGCAACGCGCACGGACGGCGCGGCGGGAACGACGCGCGGATTCGACGAGGCGTGAACCACGCGCGCGAAGGATGAAACGAAGCGGTAATTAGTGCAAAACCGGCAGCTACCGTCAGCCGCGCGCAAAAGGGGGATGGAAAAGGGACGAGCGGGATAACGGACGAAGGCAGGCGTGAAAGGGCCGCGGGTTTGCTCACTGAATTTCGCAAGGATTAGGGTGAAAACTGGAAAATGTCCCTTTAATGATATCGCGCCGAATTAACCGGGCACACGCGTCTCGGCTCCTGCCCTTTCGAGCGATTTATGCAACGGACACCGAAATTATGCCATTTTCTTCGAGAAAGAATATGTTATATCGAGACAAATTGACATTATTATTTTTCATGATTAATTAATTGCACTTTATTAACGAGTTAAAAACTCGAATGCGATCCGGTCGATATAATGATTGAAGAGAGAAAGAATTTTTACATTTCGTCTTTAATCATCTTTATTTATCGATTGCAATTGAAAATCGCATAAGCGGAGAATTAAGTGGGAAGATAGCAAAGAACATTACGTAGCGCGGGCGCGCGATGAAAGGACGCGGATCTGATCGGTAAGCGTGAAATGGCGCCTCCTTGAGCAAAGAGCAATGGTAAAATCCAATTGCGAGGCCATTAAGTCCCGGTTAACCGGCGTGCGCGCGGACGTGCGAGAGGAGTCGGCATCGACAGTGCTCTCTGTCCCGCGCTCGCCCTTTTCCCCGCTGTCTATCCCGCTCCATCTTCATCGCCGGGACTAGAGACGGCGGGGCCGAGATTCCATTATGCTTTGAGCAACAATAGCTGAGGGCTGTTTCGTGGCACGTGGGTGTGAATTCGTGCGTTCGTCAGGGCCGTTATATTCCACGACTTTGGGGCACACGGAGAGCAATGTTTGCGTTTCGCTGAGCCAAATTACCTCTCGCGCCCTTATCCGCGCGCGGGGTGTCGCGTCCCTTTGATATCCAAATGACAATTTAACTGCTCCAGATATATAACGCCTCTCGCTCGCTCGGCGAGTCTCACGGAGGAGGAGGGTGAACGGGGGAGAGAAAGGGAAGGGGCGAACCTCGAGGCGAAGGGCCGATTTAAGGAAACTTTCTTGCCTCATTCGGAACGGTCGAGAATACACCCTTTTGTTGTATCGAGCCGAGATAAAGAGCACGAAAAAGCGATTTGATTGATTGTGCGCATACTTCTTTTTTTTAGGAGGGATTCTCTCTCGTCTCTCGTTTTTTTCCATTCTAATAACTTGGTAGACATTCGCCACCGTCATATTGTCCGTCGATCCGTCCGACGTAAGAAAGTGATGTGCACAACGACGACGACTTGGAAATCCAGATTCGCGATTTCTCGCGGATATCGTTGCGTGCGTGGCGTATCGAATGAAGAAAGAAGAGAGCTCGTCGTTCGATGGATCCCGTGGAATTCTGCAGACAGCGCATCTCGAGAGTCCAAGAAGAATGAGCCCGCTAATAGTTTCGCTACCGTCTTACACACCCTGACAAATCGTCCGGACAATGAAAACAATTTCAGGCCGTGGCCGCCGTACGGGGCCCCTCGGCCGGGGCCCTAAACGGTTGGTATTGTATGCCATCGCATCGCGCGCCATATCGCCCTGGCTTTTTGGAGGGGGTGGTAGCGCGGCGCGAGGCGAGGGCCCCCTAAAAAAGACGTCCGCTGAAAAAGAAGAGAGGGGGGGGGCCCCGGGTGGTTCTCGCCCCTCTATGACTCCGCATTTATCCGCACGTAATTAACTCCGGCACAATGCCGACCGCGAGGAGAGGCCACCTTGCCTCACGGGTAGAAGAAGAAAACGAACCGAATCGAAATCGAGGACGGGGCGAGAATGCGAGAGGGAAGGCACGGTCTCGCAAGTCTCGGGTTCTCGCAAGAACTGGAAAAACTTCCGCGCATTGTTCGCCCGGGGATCGAGAATACACGTTCGCTCTCGTACGCCAACTTCATTATTATATTCCCCTTAAAACCCGGTTCGACGAGATGAATTCCACGAAGGAGACCAATAACTCGCGATTGATAAGCACTCTCTCGCCAGACGCTCGCGCGCACCTTATTCCACGGGAGTTTTTTGCGATTACACAGTCGAGAAGCTTCCTCCGTGAGCCTGCCCGAGAACGACGGCCTTGGGATTTAACCGGATTTGCCGCGGCGGCGCCGGATATCGGATATAATCGTCAACGTGATGAGTGCACTCGACATGTTTCGTTCTTGCGCGAACGGCGAAAAAAGCAATTTAAGTATCACATCGAAATGACGGTAATTGGCTGAATGCTCTTGCTCACTCGAGCATCTCGAGGAGCCGAGGGTTAGTGACGTTCGCGAGCAAAAAGGGATATAGGGCGCGGGACGAAGGTAAAGAGGAAGCGCGGAAGCGTCTAGAGGGTTGATTTCGTGTAGCATCGCGTTTTTAATGCTCTGATCTTTATGTAAAGCAGAAGAGGTTCGAAAGGCAGAGAGGAACAGCACAGCAGCAGCAGCAGCAGCAGCGAACGGAAAGCAGAGGGCCGGAAAGCGAGATATGGGGAGGAGGGGGTGAACGGAAGATGCGAACAGGGCTGGGGATAGGCGCTTGAGCGCCAAGCCGACCATGAAATTGTATGAATCAAGGAGCCGCATGGAGCAGCGCGGAGACACAAAAAGCGGAAGAACTGGGAGGAGAGAGAGAGAGAGAGGATGAATCTCCGGTGCGCGGGTCTCTTTCCCTCGCTTTCGAATCGCGCAAATCTTATAATTTCAATTTTCCGTTAACTACGATCATCCACCATCGTCTCTTCACTTTTTTTTCGCCCGCACATTCTGTTCTTTCTTCTACATATCACAAAGTCGTACTAAGAGATGTCTGTGTCGATTCAAACGCGCCGCTAATTCCCGATTCAGTCGCGACTTATTGTCTGAAGTCTACCTCGGCGATGTCGTCAATATTTTTAAAAAATAAAAAGAACACGATATCCAGGACGATCGATGAGTCTCGCTCGGTAATTGTTCTTTCTCCCGCCCACATAAAAATCTCTCTTTCGTATGCCATTCGCGTCGAAGCTCTCCAGTAACGAATTTAATCCCCTCGCAATCCGCGCGCCTTTCCAATCGGCGCCCGCGGCGACGCAAAATCATAAGTCGGGGACAGACTTCTCTCCCTCTCTTTCTCTCATGTGTATTCATAGTAGACTTAATAGTCTGCGAAAACAGCATTGGCCATTATTCAATTCGTCTTTTTGTCGTATAACATTCAAGTTACGCATTACAGCAATTAAAATATATATATTTTTTTTAACACATTCCTGAGATATCGTCATTCGAGATTTATTATTCGTTATTCTTCAGAACACGTAAGAAAACGCTTCGACCAAGTCGTGGTCGCCGTGCGGGGAAGGTCTTGGAACAACCCTAATATTGCTGACAACACCTACCTCACCGTCAGCTTGCAACCACGCGAGCTACCATCGCGTTGAGATCGAAACCTCTACCTTTCTGCTGCCCTCGCTCTCTTTCCCGCCCCTCTCCCTCCCCCTCCCCCTCCCCCTCTCTTCCCCGCCCGATTTCTGTCTCGGCTTGTTCGCCGGAAAACCACGTCGTCGTACCTCGTGGATATATTCAAGGCGGGGGGATGTTTCCAAGCCCTCCGCCCTACCTCCGTCGCCCACGTCGGCGCGTCGGCTTCCTTCGGCCTTTATATCGCCCGTGCACACGCGTCACGCTTTATCACTCTTCCGCGGGGTTATTGTCTTTCCGCGTAAATGGTCTACGCACGTGTACGCATGCAGGTGCGACGCTCGCATTTTCTCGACCGCGTGGGCGGCTGAAAAGCTGGAAATAATCCGACGCGCGCGCGAGCGTTCAGCAGTTCCCGTCCATCGTCGTCGTCGTCATTTTTCCTTCCGAGGCGATACGCTTGATTTGCGGGACTGAAGCTTAAAACTTTTTACTTCTCGACAACGTTTGACTTTCATTTTTCTCCCTTTTTCAGTTTATAGACCGCACGGTATTCAAGGTTAATTCATTCGTGGAAGCGCCCGAGCGCGGCGTGTAAAGACTAAAAGGGTTTAGCGTTTAACGACGTTAAAGCCGTAGCCGTATGCTGATGCTGATGCTGATCTCACGAGACATCGATGAAAAATGATACCGGCGCGCCTCGATGCCTCGATCGCGATTATTCCCATTTCGAATAATTCCCGAGGACTTCGTCCATCAAATATTAATGCCCGCGCGGCGATTTAGAGTGATTGCGGTCGCAGGGTGGAAGATGGAGGTACAGTGCACCACACCGTAGAGCAATCTCGCAAAGTCTCGGTGTGGGTGTGTTTGTACGTGCCAACGTCTCTTCGTGCGGTGGAAGAAACACGGTCGGGCAGGATAGGAAGGGGAAAGAAACAGGGGAGTTAGGGGGAATAAGGGGGAAGGAATAAACGATAGAGACGGCGAAGCTGAAGATGGTGGTTGGAGAAGGAGGATGGAAAGAGCGAGAGCAAGAGAGAGACGAAGATAGAGAGAGAGAAAGACGGAGAAAGCAACAGTGCTGCGAAATCAGGAGGGAGGTAGGACAGGGGCACGGGTAGGAGGAAGGAGGTTATGGTTGCTGCGAAATTATTGCATATAGTCTGAATATTAAAGCGTGGCGGAGTGCTTCGTCGTACTCTGCGGATGGTGGACGACGTGGAGGAATCGCGCGTCGTGCATACTTGTACACGTACACCACGTCGTACGTATCGTACACGTATGCACGCGCGCGAGAGACAGAGAGAGAGAGAGAAAGGGAAGAGAGGCAACGTGAGAGGGGGGGCGGGAGAGGTAGCGCAGGGGGCTGAGGAGGTTTAAGGGAAGCGCGGAGAGAACGACGCGAGTGGAAGAAGGAAGGGAGGACAGGTAACGCCACCGAGAGCCGCGTTGGCCGCCGGGGAAATTACGGCTCCTTCCTTACTTGCGAGAGATGTGCATAAACTCTGCATTACAGCCAGTGGCGCTCATGTGAGCGCACCACGCGCGAGAACACGCGGTCACGGTCGCGAAGACCGCGATCGCACGATTGGGAAGGTCGGGGGTGCGACGCGACGCTGTTAGCACCAGGTGCTCTCCCGCAAAAGGGTTTAACAGCCAAAGGCGGTCGGGATTTAGGATCAAACTGAAAGCGGCAAAGAATGGATTTTGAAGGGAAGAATCGACCTAAATAATCTGCTACAGAATTAATACGCGAAATACTTTTTGATAACCGGATCAATGGGATTTTCAGATTGAAACTTGCCGGGAGATTTATCGGTCACCGACCAAAAGCTTGGATACCACGAGAAACACGTTTCTTCGATAACGATGTGACAAGAATGAGAGCCATCGCTCGTATAGAATGCATGACTCGAAGACGCGGCGGTGGCGGCGGCGGCCCCTGAGGTCCCCTCAGTGGCGTAAGTATCCACCTCAGACGACGTTACGTCGAACCACCTCTTTCCCCGTCTCTTCCTCCCGATGGTCACCCCTCCCATCCCCTCTTCCCATTTTGACGCTACCGCTTGACTCGTCTCTCGTTGTCTCTCCTCTCCCGCGTCACCCCCGTCTAAATCTCCGTTGTTTATTGCAAATGGATTCCGCATCATGATGCCCGGGTGGCTGCGGGACCCTATTCAAATACCTCGTGTTTCCTCGTCAGGACCAGCTCGGTCCTTCCCCCCTCTCCTTCCCTCTCTCTCCCTCCTCCTACCCTCTTCGTGCACGGGGTTGTTATTGCCGGCGGCGTGATTGCTCTCGCTCGAGATCTTTCGAATAATTTACTTTGCACGATACCACCACGACATACTACCGCCGTCTCTCTCTCGCCCTCGGGGTCAATCTCCTCTCTTTTCTTCTCTCTCTCTCTCTCTCTCTCTCTTTTTTTTGTCAGGGTAATCGAGGATCGAAAGCACTCGGCCGGAAGATCAGAAAAATTGAGTGGATCCTAATACGGGAATGCGATTATCCGAATTAGCGGATCCCGCCGCTGGCTCTGGGCCTGAATCTTCGCATCGTCCTTCCCCCTTCCCGTACTCCCTTGACCTCAAGTTTCTAACACGCGACTGCTACTTTCTCGAATTACCGTAAACTTTACAATGTAGATAGCAGACTAGCTTTCCTGAGCGATTTTATTCTTTCCCGTCAGGCGACTCTTTAAATTCTTTTCGAAATATTTCGCCAAGGTAATGTAATTCGATAGTGAAACTCGAAGGGGCAACATGACGTATTGGGACACGGCCGGGACGTTTCGAGATATCGGGAAAGAGGGAGAAGCGGAGGCAGAAACAACATAGCGATCGCGATCCTCCGTTAACGATAAGTGGCTTAAGTACTCCTTGTTTATTTTTCCGCGAGCAGTTCCGTGGAATACCGTGGGAACCGCGTGGAATCGACGACCCGAACGTAACGGGGTACGACGAGGGTGAAGTAGCGTGCCGTTTGGGAGAACTGACCTTGGTAATTTTGCCAGAAGGCCGACGCCTGGCTACCGATGAGATCCAGCCCATATCCCCATGCGGGCTTCTCCGGCGTCGACGGTTGCTGGGAAGGACGCGGCACTTGCGCCTCCCGGTACTGCTGGGCCGCTGCCTGTTGCTGCTGAAGGGGTTGCTGCGGCGGTTGTTGCTGCGACGATTGCTGCTGCGACTGAGAATGTACCGGACTAGCCTCCGGCGGCTCCGAACTCGTGCGCGCCTCCGCCGTTACGTTCTCTGCGTCACAGAAAGATAGCAATCGCCCGATTATCGCGATGTTAAAAAAAATCCGTCTCCGTCTCTAAATCCTTCCCTGTGTATGTAACCCATAAGATCGTGACCGTCTCGCGACTCACCCCGTCGCACGCCAAAGTGGCAGAGTGGCGTGCCTTTTGATTTGAAATTAGTATCGCGACTCTCTGGATTTGACAGAATTAATCAGCGCTACCAGTGACGGCAGCAGCAACAGCAGCGGCGGCGGCGGCGGCAGCGACGGAGGCGACGGTAGCGGTAGCAACGAGAGGGGAGGGAGAGGTAACGCGAAAACGATGAGGTGGAAGAGACGGTGGGGAGGCAAGAGGTGAAGGGAGCCAGGACGAAACATTATATCGGAATAAGAGATTTCACTTAAAGGGTTTCGCGTTTGAGTTTTGGTAGTGACAGGAAGAAGGGTGGTGTGCCGCTTGTTGCTGCTACTTCTACTTGCCGGAGGATCATGGGGCGAGACGCGCGGTGCCTAGTCAAGGTGCTGGAGCAATGGGGGAGAGGAGGTAACAGGGGAGGGGAAAACAGGCTGCCATCAGCCAGCCGACGACGGAGAGGGATTGCACCGCCGGCAGGGGGATAAGTAAGGAATCATATTCTGCCGGGTGTCAGGCTGTTTGCTCTGCCTCGGCGTATTAATTAATTTATTCCGAGATCACCGCTGGCCCCGGGGCTCTTAACGGAGAGACTGACGACGAGCTCGCGAAATCCTAAGAAAACCCGTCCATTTGCAGCGATAGTCTGCGTCTCTCGCGTCTAATCTATACTCGCGATGAAAATCGAGACGTTTTTTTCCACCATGGCGTAGAACAGATATTAGCCAAGAGTTTTCAGCGCGAGAACAGAGCGTTTTAAGTATTTCTCTTTAAGCTCTTAAATATAAGCTTCTTAGGTAAATGATACTTTTTATAGATTTGCCAGGGTGAAAACTTGTTCATAGAGAAGGCGATTCGCACGTACCGGTGATCGCTCTGACTTGCTCCGAAGACGCGCCCGTGGCTTTGAGGGCCTCCTCCAATTGTGTGCGCCTCTTGATTTCCAGGTCCAACTGTTCCTGCAGCCGTTTCCTCGCTCTCCGTTCCTTCTTTAACCGTTTCTGATAAACCACTGTAACAAAGAATAACGATCATTTATAATGTGACTGATAACAATTATTTGTAATACGTTTCGCGTCAACGAATGTTGACACGCGCTTGAGAGTGATGCGACGAGAATTCGCGCCAAATTCGCGCTGACCATCTTCCGTCCCCCGGGTGGCGGAACCCCGGTGTGGTCAGAGTCCGACGGAATTATCCTGGCGTATCATTCTACAGCGGGGGGCTTCACACCAAGCACGGCGGGCCCCAAAACTAAAAGTACACGTCTAAGCGGGGGTCCGAACGTCTCGTCAGCTACCGTGCGCGGATCCGACGGTAGCCGGTCGAGTCGAACGCCCGAGACGAATCGTTTATCGATTTCTCACAGTGAGTCACGCCGCTAAAAAGATACAGGGAGTTGCATCGGACTCCCGCGTTTGCATAATATATGAGTATTAAGCTAATGTGAATATATGCAAAGACGTATAAAAAGTTCAATAAGAAAGAGAATAAAAAACTGCTCTTTGCATTTCATTATTCGTCAGTTTTTTTCATTTATTTCACTGACAGTATTTAGGTTCTCGTATCGAGAAATAGGTACTTAATTTAAGACAAAATATATGAGAAAAATAAGTTAGAGAATAAAATATACTTTATGTACAATAAATATAAAATATACTTAAAAAAAAAATATATATATATATATATAAAATATATTTTTCAAAACGATTTTAGTTCCAGAGAATAAATTCAACATAGAATTTAGAACGTGATCTGAGACTCGGACAGACTCTCAATCAATCTAAAGTTTCTCTTCGTACTTATTTTAAAATTGTGTCACGGAGCATTCCAAGGCAACTTGTTGTTGACCACAAGTATTACGACAATGCAGGTAGGCTTGTTCGCTCTTTCGTGTCAGACCATTCATTCCGGTCGTGGTCGCTGCACTTTCAGACTTCTTTTCCGGATTCCAACGTTCCGTTCTTTGTCGCCAATGCAGACGTACACGAAATCAATTCACCGTGATGCGCGCGCGCGCACACAAACTTGCATCGGAACTTGCATACAAACCACATGCACGCGCGCGCGCGCAACGTTAGATACACGTGTAGGAGGGCGCGAATTCGTCACGGCAACGGGTGTGCACGTAGGTTCGCTCAGATACAGCATACAGGTCGATCGGTTTGATCGGTCGAGACCCCTCGCGTCGGCGTCTTTGAACGGGCTCCCTCTCCCCCTGCCCGCTTTAATTATTTTCCGTCATTGTGAACCGGCGCGTCCGGCCATTGTATCCTCTCCCGGGCGCATCTCGGCCCTCGACACTTTTGGCTCGATCTCTCTCGCGGGCTTCGGCTTTGTTCGACGACGATTCTGCCTTAATCGTTCCTCGTTGCGCCGGGTTCAACGAATAATGGCACGGCGCGGCGGCGTCCCCGTCCGGCGTCCGATGAGACGTTGACCGGTTCTTGCGTCCGTTCGAATCTCGCGAAAGGGTACCCCGGGGCAAAAAGATTAGGGTTCGATCGATTATGCCTCCTCGATTCCATTTCTTCGACCTTCTTCCGAGACGCCGTTGAAGACAACAATATCGCAAACGCACGGTTCTTTAACGTTAAAGTATCGAAGGTTCTTATATATATATATATAAAAAAATAAACATATTGAATTACAATCTTCTTTTTCGACGTTAATAATTTACGCGTATTACCCTGTGTGCAAATATGCAAGATCTTCGTGCAGTCAGTTAATGTACCGAAATGGATCTGTCGCGATTCTTCAGGATGGTATATAGGCTCGGCGGAAGACAGTAGCTCCTACTCGCGTTCTCTCGATTTAACATTACCCTACCCTGACAGGTAAAACGGTAGCGCGAGGCGTAGGTACCACGTCGCCGTGGGCGTACTCGAGTACGACGACATACCTTCCCTTCGCTCTCGCGCCGGCATAGCATGGAGATTAGGGCACGCGGCTTTAATCGCCCTCCACTCGCGCGTCATTTCTGGAACGGTAATAAGAGGATCGTATTGCCGCCGTGGAAGTAAATCGTCGTGAGCCCGTGCAAAGGCATCCATCCACTTTAGATGCAAATGTATTTCTCATTCGGCCACACACCGACATCGCGAGAATATCAAGAATTTTTCTCTTAAATCTCGCTGCGCGCGCGCCATCGCACGCGTGTGTATGTGCAGCGTGTGTATACGTGCGCGCGATTAAACGTCGCGGAAGCGTCGTCCTTCTCGTCGCTCGGGTCTTCGGGATCGAAATTGAACGTCCACGGATCTGTCGTGACTCTATGGTTCGAAGTAACAGCGGATACCATCGATGAGCCATCGTAAGTGGGTATCGCGATCCTATCGATCGTGTCTCGCAGGTGGCCACTGGTTGAGCATCACTGATACGTGATTGATTCCCGGCAGACAAGGCGCAGACAACCCCTTCGTCCCCTCTACCTCTTCGCCATGGCCGTGTGCCCCTCCTTTTCCTTCTATACCTCTCCGTTTCCCTCTCGTGCACTCTTCTCCTTATCCACTTTGGCATAACGCGCCTCCGAGACGTTTCTCTTCGTTCCTTTTCTTTTGCTCTTTCTCTCTTTCTCTTTCACCTGATGTTTCGTCTCCTTCGCCCTCTCTTTTCCTCTTTCTGTCCTACGCGAAACGAAACAAGGGTGGAGAGAAAGTGGAAGAGGGTGGGGGCGGACAGGAGGACGAGGTGGGCAGAGGGAAGAGGTTGCGGGACGGCAGCAGCAGGGAGGAAGAAGGGGGCAGACTTCTCGCAGTGACGGGAGGGGCGGTGAGGAGGAATCGGGGGGAGAGAGAGCGAGCGAGCGAGCGCCGGGGCACGGGGGGACAGCATTATGATGCAAAGATGGCGCGGCGGCGGCACCCTAGAATTAGCTCGAGCACTCGCCATTGGCCGCTCAGCAAACCACTCCTTCGGTAACAACCGACTGCATACGTTGCATACTAAGGATACACGCGAAACGGCAAAGAATTGCCCCGAATGGGGCTGCTCGCTCCAAGGATCCGACGACGTCGTCCACGGTGTCAGGCCAGGACGAGGAATGTATCCGCCAGATCTGCGTTCGTTCCTGGCCGTCTCGCGACGAAGGACGAGTCCTTTTCTTCCGTGATATTTTGTTAGGCAATCGCGCGAGGGCCTCGCGCCGATCCCCATGATTGTAAACTCAGACAGGACTCCTTTTATCCGGTTGACTACATTGTCTCGATTTTTCTTAAATACAATCCAGCCGGAAATATTCTTTTAATGCGTGGACACGCGTTATATATTTTTCCTTTTCTTTTTATTTGCAGCATCATGGAACGAAGGGGGCATCATCGTGTATACCGAATCTGCGCTGCTGTTTCGACGACAGGAATCGTTGTGTCTAATCGAGTTCATCCGTGACCGCCGCGCAAACTCGACAGAAAACACCGACATGGTGCGTCACTCGAAGGGTACCAATCGAGCGACGACAACAGCGGGTCGTAGATCGAGGAGGAACTGGTAATTTGATGTTAGCGGATACCGGGGAGAGAGATTGCACGGGATCGCGGAACAGTGTTAGTGATGGCTGGGCGCGGACGTTGCTGCGCGGGGGTCTAAGGTCTTAGGGATGATTCCAGAGTCACGGTCGCACGATCTCGCTCTCGAGATTCGACGAGACGCGAGAGTACGACGGCGGACAATACTTTGCCGGTCGCGAAAAACTCTTTGCCGTTCCATGGCTCGCCTCTTTCTCTCTCTTTTCCCCCCCCTTCTCTCTCTCTCTCCTTTCTTTCTCCTCTCGGTACTCATCGGAGATACTCGGGCTTTTTGCGCGTTACTTCGCCTTGGATGTAACTTCGGCGTAATTTCTTTCCCGACCAAATCGAGCTCGCGCTCGGCTGTTCGGGCTGGTAACTATCTGAGCAATATCGTCTTAGGGATTTCAACGCAGTGGCTTCTTTCTTGCATTCCTACGAACGTCGGAGGAAAAACTTCGCGGTATTCGATCGTTATCATCCGCGTCTATCCTCTTCTTATGTATCTCGCGCGATCTTAATTATCCCTCAAGCGCATGTAATTGCATACTTTGGAGCTCGACGCGTATGTCATCCAACATTCCCACATTCGTGTTTTTAGATAGATCGCCGAACGCCCTATCCATATATTCCTAAGAGTTCTAAAAATATTTTTGTTCGGACCTTTCATGCAAATTAGACGCGTTGAGACCGACTACTACATACGTGCGTGCACCGATGACATCGGTGATTACATAAGGCGCGTAACAGAAAAGAAAAGAAATTCGCGGTCGATTATGAAATCAGAGCCGAGGTGCATGCAACTCGCCGAACGGTCGCCTCCCGATGCGGTAGATCGCAGATAGCTGAAACGCCGAGTCGTTGTGCATCGGGCAGGAAGGCCACGACGAAGGGAGAACGGGAGAGAGATGGACAAGCGATAGAGAGAGAGACAGAGGGGGGAGGGAACGAAGGCGGAGAGGGTGGTCCATTAGATAATGCAGTCAACAGAGAGAGCGGCCTCTCTCATCGGGCACGTCAAAATACATCAGCTACCACTGTGCGCTCGCTCAGAAATCCTCTGACCGCTCTCGGCGTGGACTCCCCACGTCGAAGACTCGTTGGCTGGTGACTCTCTCTCACTCCCTCTCCCGAAGTTCACCGTGTGTTTAACGCTCGCCCGCCCGACAGGACACGATAGATCTCGATCGCCGATATCGAGTTCCGCGGCGGCGGATAGGTCAGAAATCGCCGGGTTCCGTACGAGAATGCGGTACCGAAGCTATTTAACCTCGGAACCATGGAAGCACCCCGGCATCGACTGATTTATTCCGAGATTTCCACGCGAATTCCTCCCGAGTCGAATAATTTCCAAATTATACCGTCAAATCGTCCCCGATGTGAAATCGACATATTGGTTTCCACCGAGCCGTGCAGATTCTTCGAGGCTGTAACTACAGGAGGGCAAATTGCTCTTAGGCAAATTTCAAGATGTATATCTCATACATCAAGAATGATATGAAACATCGTC